GACATCGCAGAGTCTGAAGGCTCAGACGTGATATACTGTTTGTCCAATAATTCCTGGATATCTCTTTGAGCTATCTGCCCATAACATCGGCATTGAAATAGCACATCACATTTGAGCACTCACCCTCCATCAACCCAAACTGACCAAGAGCAATTGCGTTGAAGTTTCCACTCTTTGAAGTTAAAGGGGAAAAGTTGCAGCAGCTAGAGCTAGTGAGCACCTACAGGGGTAGCGCAGGCTAATCTCAATTTACTGGAGATCTCTGTGGAGTTCCTGGGATCAGGCTGTCAGCGCCATTAAAATAAATCCTTTGAAATAAAGGCATTAAATCCGCCATGTATATCGAGGAAGCAAGCTTTATGGAGTGGAGTCCTATAGCTCAGTGGTTAGAGGCTCGCCTCGCAATCAAGAAACCTGGGTTCGATTCCCTGCAGGGCGAAACCTTGGGCAAGTTTCCTTACTTCCATATGGCCTGATAATAATCCCTCAAGAAAACAATCAATCAATAAATAAATAAATAATAATTTGGTCACTCAATCCACGACTGTTTGTGGGACACTGCTGTGTGCAATTGGCTGCCACGTTTCACCACAAATATACAGTCAATTCACTTTACAGTATATTCTGTAAATCACTTTGAAATGTCTAGAAGACGTGAAAAAGCGCGATATCAAATGCAAGGATTATTATTATATCAAATGCAATGATTATTATTATTAATATTTATAAACACTATTTAAAGGAGAATGTTTTAACACCTTCCGAGGCTTAGGGGAAGGACTAGCCTCAAAAGGAGTGGGATTCCACCAGGGCACCCAATAGGATCAAGAGCGGGAGAGGCTTAGTTTCTGTATGTCCAAAGGTCCAGACTTATTAAAATATTATTGTGGAATAAATCATGAATCTTACGATAGACCCCCACCCCCACCCCCAGTACTGTATGCAAGTAACAACCTTGCTATTTGCACTGGTGTGTCGATACACTATTATATATATAGTTTTTCTTTACGCAGATTTTGCCCAATTAACTATTAATCTGTTTATCTTATTCTAGACACAGATTGACTGTTTTCCCCATTTAGGATTTCGGGTTTTGATCTTTTTATAATGCATTTGATTTTTTTAAAAAAAGCTTTGAAAAAATTGGAAGCGCCACTGGTTGCCATCTGGAATATTATACAAGTATTTTAAACATCCAAGGAAAATTCCATTTTGATGGTAGAAAGCCTTTGCTTGTGATTCCAGCCTAGCAGTTTCAAAGCATCAAAACATTCATTGCATCAATGAACAGAATGAATATAGGCTGATCATTGTTATCTGGAATATTATCAGATCACGTATCAAAAGGAAATTACATTTTGCTGATGTGAAAATATGTATAGCATCTGGTGACAACGGTTTAAATAACTTCAAATGTATTGCAGCGATCGTAAACGTACAACCAGCGTTCCTGGTATTGGATTAAATCGAGTAGCACTCAAAAATGTATGAGCTCTTTCAATTATATAAAGCTTTCCAAATGAATCGAGACGGATAGTTTCAATACACCCCCATTTCGCAATTGAGCACAGATTGGTAGAAAAACTATCAATTGTTTTTCGAATACCAAAGGACAGGGAGTTGAGATTGTTGGACAATAATATTTATTTGTCAATGAGGGATTACATTTTCATTTTTTAAAAAATCTATTCAAAGGTTCTCCTGAGATTGGTAGTGTCAGTAGCAGGAATTGGAAATGTTTTGATGCACGAAGCGGTGTCCTTTGAAGAGGAATAATGCGATTCCAGAAGTTAGACATATAACAAGATGTAAAGCAGCGAGTGTATAAGATACAAGAAATGTAATTTAGTGACTGAAGCTCAAAAAGCCAAACGGAATTATAGTGCAGCAGCATTACATCCCCAAAAAAATACTGGTGGATATAAAGTGAAACCAGACCTTCCCCCAACACGAATTTTTTTTTAAAAAAAAATGGGATAATAATGCCTCAAAGTGTTACAGTGTGAGAAACAAATGACAAGTCGGTGTGTGCGAGTGACCAGAATTCCTGTTCACTGCGTTTCCAGATGATTGTATGGAAAGTGTTATTATTATTATTTTTTTGGGGGGGGAAACAACCACCCTGAGAGAAAATGAATGTTCTGTCATTCAGGCTTATAACATCGAGACTCCGTCGTATTATGTTCCTCCACGTGTGCGGGGGAGTGGGTGGGGGCAGAATCACGTCTACAGGTCATCTCTCTGGTACGTTTGGCCAATTTACGCGGATGATAGAGACTCCCAATGAGGACTCCTATTGGCAGTGTGGAAATGTCACGGACCAGACTCTTGACAGCAATGCGATGCGTCCGCCGCATATCCTCGAGAAAGGTTGTGAGAGTTCAGTCATTGTTGCTGTTTTTTCTCTCTCTCTCTCTCTCTCTCTCTCAAACCCTCCGTTGTTTTCTGACAGCAACTATTCTCCCGGGAGTCAGTGAACAACAGTCAGTGAAATCCCGAGCACTGTGGACAGTGCAGCGAAGATGAGTTCGCTCGCAGTGAGGGGGTTTCTTCCCCAATAGCTGCAGAGCTACCAAAGCGATCCCTCTCACATCGGCAGTTTGTTTAGTTTAGGCTCATTCAGTGGAGTGATTGATTTCCCTTCTGTTGGAGAAATCTGCAAAAAACCGCAAACGACAGAGAACGGTCAAAGCACATTATCCTTGTGGTTGGATGTGGTGGTGGTAATAAGTTGTATGTTAAAGTCAAAGGGTGGCGGGATAGTTACTTACTCGTTGAACACCTATTGGATTAACGATAACTTCGTGGAACTGTCCAAATTGATGTGAAAACTCAGAGATCCCGGTGCATGAATACAGCGATCGCAATACTACATATAACACGCCACCACCAGTTGTGGGGTGAATAGGGTGTTCAGATAGCATCAGATATTTTGCTTACAAAGCACAGTCACTAGACCTTCCAGTGAATCCCGTGAGGTGCTTTGAGAAGTCTTGTCGGGGTTATTATTGCAGTAATATAGTCGCAATGTGAGAGAGGATTTAAGGATTCACATATTGCACAAAGATGAATTGAGCGAATTTTGGTCATGACTGCTTCCCGAGCTGTTTGGGGAATGAATTAAGTATTTAAGGGGGGAAAAAAGTTGATTGGCAAATTGGTTTTAACATACTTTAAACCAGAAACGAGTCTGATGTTATGGTAGTTAAATAATTTGTCTCGTTTTAAAAGGGGGTGTGGGGTGCGCTGTTCCAACACAATGGGCGCAGTACAGAGCACAACACGTTGTGTCTGCAAATAGTTTGTAAAAAGTTTTGAAGTTAGACAAAAAAAAAGGCAACGCGCCACATTGACCTCATTGTTTGCCTTTGGTCGTCTGGTTCAGTTGTAAATAACTCGACGGGCGGGATAATGTGCAAGTTCAGAGCTTTGCCAGACAAATGTTCCGCAAAGCCCTTTCCTCTTGATNAAAAACTCAAATCAAGGTTAGAAAAATGACAGGAAACTCTGGGTAAGTGTATGGGCGAAACCATCCAGACTATTAAAGCACATCCCGCCACTCCCTCAGCCTGACATCCGCACTTTCCTATTTCAGAGCTCAACAAATCCCCCCACTCTATTGTTTGGCTTTCCACTGAGAACAAGTAAGTTTGGTAAAATATCTAAACAATTTACTTTATCAACCTTAGCATAACATCCCGATTGACGAGCTCAGGGGATGATTGCTTGCTGCACGGTGCAGTTTCTCAAGTCCCACGATTTAAATTCTGAGCATTTTGTTAAGTGTTTGCTTGGCTGAGGGAGAAGCAAAGAATGCAATGAATTAAATGTCCCAATAAAACTTTTCGCTTTGAATCGCTGACTGCAATATCAACTGCATCGAGGATCGTGTGTGTGTGTGTGTGTGTGAATATAGTGGAGGGTTTCATTGCAGATTTATATAGACAATCTGCAAAATAAGATTGGGAAACCAATTGTGAAACAGGTTGGCAACAGAAAGCGAAAGATGCTAAACTCAGAGAAATAGTAGAAGTGCGAAGAACAGAGGGAAGTTAAGAGTGTAGAGTTTTTCGTTAAAAAAAACGAAAAGACCAAAAGGAAAGCGGAGAAAATAGATTTAATATGTAGCAGAAAAAAAATCAGAGATGAGATTCACGGAGATAGAGACAGAGAGAGAAATGGGTTTAAAGGAATAAAAAGATTTTTTTTAAAAATCTGAGGTGGGAGTATAAGAAAGGGAGAAGAGAGGGGAGAAGGTACAAACAAGAAGCCAATCGGGGATGATGGAAGAGTTAAAATAGACGAAGACAAAATGGGAGGGGAGAGAGAGTGAACAGATGGAGAAAGTTGGAAAGCCAAGAAAGTTTGAAGGAGAGAGACAGCGAAGGGGGAGAAAGGGGGAGGGTGTGCCCGAAAAGTCAAGATAAAAGAGATCTCAGAAGAGAAAGTGGAGAAAGGGAGACGTGAAAGAGTTTGGGCAGGAACAGTGAAACCAGAGGGAAAGGGGAAATCATTTGGAAGAGAAATCGCTGCGACTCGCCCTCCCCCCCCAACCCCCTCCCACCTCCCACCTCCCTCTGAGCCACACACTGTACCAAGTAGTCCAGGGGGTATTTGTTTCTTGGTGTCAGGCACAGACTGAAGTCTTGGGTCTCGGGGTCTGGATTAATACTTTGGAAAGAGGCGAGGAAATTCACTCTTGATTGAGGAAGTCGATGGAAACGGTTCAGTCGAGTCACCGGGTCAGAATGGCAGCGTGGGAACCGCAGAGCGCACTCCAAACCATCTCTCTGCAACATCTCACCGCACGTCTCCATCAACATCCCCTTCCCACCGGCTATTCTCTCTCTCTCGCTGTTACCACACACATGGATAACTCCAGTGGTCTGTTCGCTTGATCCAGCCGAGGAGGAGGAGGAGAAAAAAAACCCCAAAACAAATCAAGGGAAGGAAAGAATTATTTTTTTTTTTTTGGGTGGTTGGGGGTGGGGGAGGGGGGGGGGGGGGGTGGGTGAAGATTTCTGCCATACTGGTCTCCCCAAGTTGTTTGGATTGATAAGAGAAGTGGAGCCCGGAGAGGTGCAGAGTTTTTTTCATTCGAGGGATTTCGTGCCATATTCTGGCCATGTGCGTTATTTTCTATTGAGCCCGTGGGGGTCGCTGGATAAGAACCGCAAACGCAATGCTGGGATGTGAAACGGGGCTCATGTTATGGTGGATGGCGTCCTCTCTCGTCAAGGTGAGCTCCAGCAAAACCCTGCGCCTCCGCTCCCTGTGCGGGGCTTTAACCGGGGCTCGTGGTTTTGCTTCAATTAACGCTGCAGCTTCGCAGCCAACATCCACCAAACCAATGCCAACTAACGCTGCTTTCTCTCCCCCCCCCACACCCCTGACAACTAATGCACCCGTTTTTTTTTTAACCCCCCCCCGCATTGCTGATTTGTTGTCTGTCGTGTTATTTTCGCGTCTGGAAGCCGTTAAAGAATCACTTCGTGTGTTTTTTTCACCCAAAGTCGAGTTGAGGATGTATTTGCGACTCACATGCAGTAGATTTCCTCCTCGGAGGCTGGAAAGAAGGCTTTGTCGATTCAATGAGCTGTTGTTGTTTACCCCCCCCCACCCCATCCCCTTCCCCCCTTCCCCCCCCCCCCCCCCCCCCCCCCCCCCCCCACCCATCCCTTGTTTTATGGCTGCAGTATGGGACTGTGGAAGCGGTGAAATGCAGCATTAACGTAACGGAGACCAGACAGTCCTGGGATTTTATTTACGTGCAATGGACCAGCGCGGGGAGTCCTTGTAACTACAGTGTGTCCTACAACTTTAACCAGAGCCGGACCCAGACTTGCAGCCCTGCCTGTGACTGGCAGGACCACTGCGAGTGCGAGCTGAAGGGACTGCAGGCGGGGACGCTGTACCAGCTGCGGATTTGCTCACTTACAGACGGGTTGTCGGCAAACTTATCCCTGCAGACAGGTAAGGCTGATGAAGCCACATCTCACATCAAGACCCCCCCCCACCCATTTTTTTTTTTGAGAAAGGGACGAGCAAACCCAAAGCTTAGGCAGAGATCTGTTTGCATGTCCTACTCTTTTTCATTTCAGGATTCAGCAATCGTTGGTGAGTTCACTGCTGGACATCTCGGGGTATTTTGATGGGAGTTTGTAGACATGCTTTGGGCAATTCCTTTCTCACTTTTCTTTCAAATCAAATGCACTTTGTTTCACCGTGAAACTGCACGTCGCATTTGCTTGCCGTTCGAATACCCCCTCCTCTCCCCCCCACCCCCACCCCCCACCCCTCCTCCACCACCACTGGATGCCTTTTTTTTTGCATTCTGCAATTATTCACTTGAATAGTTTGTGGCACAGAAAGAAAGAAAGAAAATTCATCCCTCCTTACACACACAAACCCTCTCCCAAAGGGGAGATATTGTGGGCACCAGTGAATTCTTGGGAGGCCACTAGGGGTGGCATGTTTAATGCCCTTCAACCAGCTGTGGGCTTCTGCCACCCCACTGCCACCCCATCCTCAGCTCAATCCATCTTCCTACCCATATCGGTGGTGTGAAGTACCCAAATACCCGCATTCGGACGACTGGCAACAACCAGTCCCTCAATAACCATTCTGTCACCTGGATTTTGTATTGGGATGGGCTGGGGGGGGGGGGGGGTGGGGGGGGGGCACACGAGCTTCCTATTTGTTGGAAAGAAAAACCACGACTGGTAAAAGTCTGAACTTAAAATGCTGGCAATGCAAATCCGAAAAGAGCAAGTTAGATTAACGTTTGAGATATGACTCTTGATCCGAACTGAAAGGGTAGGCTGGGATCGACAGTTTTATACAAATGTGTGTGTGTGTGTATATATATATATGCATATATATATTAGTGTTGTTTCCCAGAAAAGGCAACTGTGTATTCACTGTGTTGTTTAGGTTGGTATATATAGGGCTCCATTTGTACCAAATATATACACATATACAGAGTTATTTTCAAACATTTAGACTTTTCATGAGTCATAGATACAGTATTAGGTCTGTTTTATGTATAAATACATAGAACTACACTCACTCCAGTGAAAGAGAAAAGAAATTCCAATATCTTATTATTCAAAAAGCGTACATAAAAACATAATATATATTTTACAGAATACATGGCTTGCCAGATCAGGCTCGTTGTTTCGCTCTCTAATAAATACCTAGATATTGTGGACTGTGTTAATCCCAGCCCCCAAGAGGGAACACTGTTTTCGAAGAGAGCGTGATTTTGAATCCCAATATTCCCCTTTGGGAATGTATTTTGTTTTACACACAATCTTGTTGCAACAATAGACTTTTATTTGGAGCGTGCACATGCATACAGATGTTAAAGGCAAGGCAGAATAGAATCGTGGCGGTCGTGTTGGAGAGATGCCCAAACCTAAACATGCAACAATGTAAATGGCTTCAAGTTGGTTCAGGCCAATGGCGTCTGAACCCCACCAGTTCCTAAGCACATTGTTCCTTTGTTCTAGCAGTTGTTAGCAAAACCAAGTGTTTTATTTTCGTGGCCTAATTGATTAGATAAGTAACTAATGTGCTTCCGAAATGTACCTTCGAAGGCACGCAAACTTTGCTGAACTGGTGTACCCACATGAACTGTATTGCTCGGGGGTTATCACTGTGCTTTTTTTCTATTTGGTAGAAGATGTATACTGTAGCAACGTGCTCTGTTATTCTTAGTAAATAATAACAATAATCCTTGCGTTTGATATTGCGCCTTATCACATCTTCGAAACGTCTCAAAGCGCTTCATGGAATATACTGTAAAGTGAATTCACTGTATATTTTGTGGGCCAAATATACAGTTCATGTGCATGCTTCAAGTAAGGTGGTTTATATTTCAGCAAATTTTAATCAAAAGCAATAGAAATTAACATATTTTGGACTCTGAATATATCTGTCCAACAAGTGAAGATAATATCATAGTGGTAATAATAATAATAATCCTTGCATTTAATATAGAGTCTTATGACGTTGCCAAGATGTCTCAAAGTATTTCACAGTAAAGTGAATTGATAGTTTGTGAGCGAAAATGTGCTGATAAATGTGCTTTGCTCAGCATCGTTGAATTAAGGCCTCTTTAGGTACTGATTACTTTAAGAAAATGTTATTAGCGATAGGCACATTACATTCCCTCACTTCTTTTAGTCTATTTGTATAATGATTTAATTGAATCACCTTCCTGATTTTGTTACGGAAGCTTTTTATTTGTTGTCGCTGGGGCCCATTTCACTAACTCACAACAATGTAACTGCTGGAGAAATGATTCACCCATCAGTGAATCAGCGCTTATTCACAAATATGGAGGCGAAAAGTATTGAAAGATTTCAATGAATCTGACTTGGATCTGGAGAGATCTGATTTGCTTCAAAGGTCACCACTCCTCAAACAGTTTCCTCTGATCTGAGATCAAAGACGAGGCTGAATGCAAAAAGTTATTTCTCAAACTTAGTCTAGAACATCCTTACCATTAACTAAATTAAAAGGGGGCGCAATTCTGCTGCAACTCTGATACCTATAAGTGTATGTGTGTGTGTGTTCCAGCGCCCTGGGACGTCTTTCCGACGTGAAGGGCGCTATACAAGTGTAATTTGTTGTTGTTGTTGTTGTTATCGTGGGGACGGGGGGAGATTGTGTACGAAATACATGGTCAATCAACTTTACAGATCCTCTTCAAGGATCACTTGAGTATCATCTAAGCTTGTTGGGTGTTCAAGAACATCTGCATCTCACAAACTTGACAAGAAAGACGGACAAAAAGCAAATAGGCACAAAAATAAATTGGTTGCTAGACAGTAAGTAGATATGGGCAGAACGGTTATTGCTATATTATACTCATTTTCCGTGTCCTTGCACAGCCGATGAAATAGGCCAATGACCAAATGTTGTGGATTCCCAGATAGCTGCAATCTGGAGTACATTTTTGGTTCATGTTTAGCTGGTTATCTGTTTGCTGGGTTTCTATTACACCCCATGATGTGCACCAATTGATCGGCAATAACCCCTGCATTGTATTTTGTTAGTTCAGTTACCTAGCTACAGTGATTTGATAAGATCAATCCCACCTGCTGAATATGTGTCAGTTATTGCAGTTGAACTGATCTCTTCTGAAATCTCAGGCCTAGTCTCAATTATCAGCACACAGTGCACTGGAGAGCTTACGCATACCATGGTTTTAGATGTAACAACCAAGCACTTACTTGACACAACCTGTCCATCTGGCAAGCGTTTGGGAAAATAACTGTTAAGAAACAGAGTAAAAATTGTTTTGAAATGGCAAGAAACAGACAAATAGAAGGCAGTTTTGTGTCCTTGGAATGAGGGTGAAATATATATACGTATATATTCATCTTATCTTTACTGGTTTTGTTTTAGATCCTAAAAAACCCCAAAACTTTCATATAATTGAAAGTGAGACAACTTCCACCAGTCTCCATGTTTCTTGGACTCCACCTCCAGGAAATGTCGATTTTTATGATATCAGCCTGTTTGGGAAGGACACTGGAGAAATTCAGAATCTCCAGATTCCAGGAAGCTCTTCCAGGAAAGAAGCCACGTTCCTAAAGCTGACACCGGGAAGTAGATACAGTTTTGCCATAAAGACACTCGCTGGGAGCAGGAGTTGTGATGAACTCCAAACCTCCGGATCCACCGGTAAGTTGTAAAATTGCAAGAAAAGGCATCTGTTTCTCTGACAGAGCAAACGAGTAAGAGATGTCATAACTGTGAGTGAGGTTAACTAGTTACTGAGAGCTAATCATCTGGTCTACTTTGAGTGGTGAGTTGACATTGAATCTTTTTGCTGTGCACTGTGTATTCATATACTGTGTCAGCATCTCCTATGACATTAGGGGTATCAGGGATCAAAATGTGCAAAGGTTAGCTCCACTCTTCAATTTGATAATAATCTTAAGGAGTAACTTGGAGGACACATTAATTGAGCACAACCTGTTACTTACACCATATCGAGATCTCTATATTTTTCTGGTTTTCAGCTACACATACTGAGGTATCAAATAATAATAACTTTTGTTTTTTAAACTACTATTAAAAGAAGTAGGTAGTGCTTAGCGGTCAATTATTTGAGTAACAAATCACCTTGGTCACTTTTCTGATAAACAAAAGTAACACAATTGTAGTAAACCTAGGGCATTGTATTGAATATAGGATTTCTAGTTGTATTACCAAATACCTGATCAGCCTAGAATTTGTAGAGGGTACGAACCATCAATTCAATTCTATGAGAAATGGGATCACAATATCCTATTAACATCTTTTTTTCAATGGAATTGCAGCTCTACATCTATTTTTTACATGTCATCAATAGAAAATAAATAAAAAAGGCTTTCTTCAGGTTCATATAAAAGCTTTTAGAACTTAATTTTCCAAATTCATGAATTCTCTCAGATCCCTTAATTAAATGCTAACTTTGGTCTATCATTTCTATAGATTCTTTACAAAGCTAAGCAATTAAAAAAACATTTAACCATACAAATTAAATATAATACTGTACAATGTAGTAAACTACTTCAGAATGAAATGGTATGGACAAACAATGATACAGAATTATTTATTCAGGTTTGGTCTTTCAGTTCCATCCAAGGTGCAGGATGTGCAGATTTCTGCAAAGAAGGATAGTGTCAACGCAGTTTGGATCCCAGGTCCAGGGAAGGTGGATAGTTACAAGCTTTTACTGAACCATGAAAGAAGTGTGGTTCAGCAGAACATTGTCTCAAACCTGACAAAGAGCCACACTTTCACTGGATTGACACCTGGAAGACTCTACAATCTCAGTGTGACAAGTGTGGCGGCAGACAAAGAAAATCCTAGCTCCCAAACCGTCCAGACAGGTAACTCAGAGAATCAGTGCTGAGTTTACACTTAACATTAACTTTGGCGTAATGGTTGTAGTCTGTCCGTTTCCTATGAGAGTGAAACATAAATGAATGAGATTGAAGTAGAAAGCCTCATTACAGGAGTTTTTCCACTGAACAAAGGTCAAATAATATTTGTAATGTGAATAACTCAGATGTTTCACAAAGAGTTCACATGTGATTCGCGTGGGATAGAGGACATTATTTTATATTTCGAAAGTCCTTTGGAAGTGACTTGTTATTATCAGTTCTCCCTCACTAGTATGTATGGTCCTATTTGTGCGTGTGCATCCTGAATCAATCTGATCATCAAAATTACTAATAACATGTATTTTCCTGTTTAGTGTATTTAACGGTATTTTCCCATTTCAGCTGCAGCAAAAGTTACATCTCTGACAGCATCAAACAACAGCAGCCTGGATAGCCTCCTGGTGTCCTGGAAGCCAGCGGAGGGTGATGTAGATTCATATGCTGTTAAACTATTTTATCTCGGAGCAGTGATCAAAAACAAGGCCTTGCTGCCGAGCATATCACAGACTCTCTTTGAAGGGTTAACCGCGGGCCGGTTATACAACATCACTGTTACCACCATCAGAGGCAAGCTACAGGCGAGCGCCTCATGCAGTGCCAGGACAGGTAAGAATTTAATTGGAAGTAAAATTGCCCAGAACCAGGATACTTTCGTATCATAAGATGATCTGTATTTGTAAATGACACAAAATATTTGTCTTTCAATATCACTAATTCTGACAGGGATAACTTGTGATATAACAACATATTGAAATAGCTTAGTTCTTTAATGAAACAAGATGTAATCTGTCTCAAGAGAGAGCAACCAAACTAGCAATAAAAGTAGAACAGAAAGTCGTGTTTCAATACTAAGGTTGCATTTTTCACATCAGGATTAACATCTAAGGTTACCAGTTTGTTTTCTATGGTCATCTAGAACATAGATGTTCCCAATAATGATCTTCAGACTATTTCTTTAATGATAGACTTGAAGTAATAATATTGTAACAGTTAATCCTTCAGTGTAAACAACATCAATTGCCTGGAACATACCAGCTGTCAACATCCGAACAGAAAGCTGTTGCCAAAATTAACAGATGGAGCACTGAATGTAACCAACTTATAAAATTGTACAGTATTTTATATATAAATACCGTACTGTGGAATGGTTTCCTGCAGCGATCTGATGACAGTTGTAAACCACTTGAGATTTACTGGTACTCTCAAAGTTTGTTACTGACTCCCCCCCCCCCCCACTCCCCTTCACCCCATCATCCCAATCATTTTAAGAGTATTCATTGTATTATTACAATGAGGAAACATATCAGCAACAAAAACATTTAAAAACATCTGATTTGATTTGAGTGTGTAAAGCAGACTTGTTTATGCGCTGATTTTGTTTAACATGTAGAAAAAGAATCATTAAGAAAGGAAAATTCGACAGTAATCCTTTATTTAGCAAATGTTAAAGCCACATTTGAGGATTTTTATTTTTGGGAGAAAAAAAACATATTTGCGTAATTCTTTGTTATTGGATGAAAATTAAAGCTTGCATATTAAATCATTTAATCTGAACATCTTTCAACTCTTTAGTTCCCAACCCTGTTTCAAACTTGATCATGACGAGCAACGGCTCAATGAGTTCTCTGAAAGTGAGCTGGCTGCCCCCTGCTGGAGACTGGGATAGTTACCGCTTCCAGCTCCTCAATCACTCCTTCATTATTCTGACTGATTCGTTGAAGAAACAGATCAGAGAATACACGATCAAGGGCATAGGACTCATCCCAGGACGACTGTATGAGGCTGCAGTCATTGTGGAGAGTGGAACACATCAAAACAAAGCTTATTGCAAAGGGAGAACTGGTAAGAAGTATATAGCGACCAAAACATCTTTTTTATATATATATATATATATTTGCTCCATTTGTTGCAATGATATGAATAGTACTATTTTGAGTGCTTTACCAATACAGGATGAGTACTTTCTCTGTACAATCTAATGTATAAGAGATTTGTTCCACTTAGATAACATTTGTAATGCTGCAGTTTTTACACTATTTTGGTGGCGTAAACTTTATGACTCATCAAAGTAAATGATGTCAGTGATGTCAGCACAGCACCTGCTGTCAGCAATAGCAGGTTAGACTCAGGTGAACAAAAATAGAATGCATTGAATGAGCAAAGGTTACTCAGCCCATCAGGTCCACTCATTCCACATAGCAGGGCAACCTAGGATCCGTGGACTCCATCCAACCCATGAAAATTTCAATATTGATAAACAGGACCAGGAGGAGGCCACTGAGCCCATTGAGCCTGTTCTGTTGAATTAGATCTTCCTCCATACCCCTTAATACCTCTACTACTCAACTATCCCTCAATCCCTCGTTTAAGCATTGTGAATGATTCTGCCTCTACAGCTTTCTGAGACTGAATATTCTACATCTCACAACCCCCTGTGTGAACAGATACTCTTCAAAGCCAAAGATGTAAAACATGTGTAACATTATATTTGTATCCACTGCTCCACAGTTGATTAAATCATTTTTCTCATATGTTGCTGAGGATGACAACCTATAGATACATGATACGGTTACCCCATGTCCAAGCATCATTATTCTAAAAATCCAGCCTGTATCTGATGTTTCTGCCACAGTCAGAGTTTGCTTAAATTAATAACACGAGATCCCATGTAGCTTTATGCCCAATATTATTTTCTTCCCAATAGCAAATGGCGATGTTCCTTCATAAAGGTAAAGGTGATGGATTATAGCAATCTTTGTTTTTGATGTAATTTAAAATCTCTGTAATAAGTTAAATAGCTAGTTTTTCCTTCTTAAGAAATTTGGATTTGTGTACGAGATATTCAATAACTCCCTCTACGAGTCGTTTATTATTTAACTCATCCAGGCCTACATAACAGTCACTAAATGTCAAAGTACAATGTATGAAGCACTTAGAGACAAGACACGACAGTGTGATGAGGGTTCTATCAAATATCAGTATTATTATTTTATGCCCATAGGTCTCCAGCTGTGATAAATAGGAAAGCAGGAGAGATTAACTAAAGTTCAGGCTCGCCATTTTATCAATTTCAAATCCCAAATGGCCCTGAGCTACCTGGTGAATATATGCAAGGTCTAACCAGGTTCCTAACCAGGTCACTTGGCAGGATGCAGCTCAAAGCTAAGATAGACAGTACAGCCTGACCCTGACTCTAGACCCTGTTTCGCTCCAGCTGTCACTTTAGATCTGTTGTTTTAAATCATGTTAAAGTGCATGAAGGAATTTGCTACAGTGTTTACAGCAAATTCATGATGCTTATGACAGAACCAGGCAGAAGTGAATAGAGTTTTAATAGAGAAACCTTTGGGTTCTGAGATACAAAGTGTTTGAAATGTAGAATCAATTCAAGCAGGCTTGTTTGAAGTCCCAGATCGTGCTCATTCCACATGATATTGGCAGGGTCTATACTGAATAGCTGGTTAATACAGTGCAGGATATGTCTGACTTCTGACTTGGAGGATGTATAGTTTATAGCCTGTTTATAGTAACAATTGAGGCTGAAGCAGTGTTGAAAATTGGACACAATTTGACATCCGGGGTTCATTGTAATCCATTTGATTCACTGGTGCTAAATTGGTGCTATGCCAAAACAGATTTACTTCAGGAGCTAATTCCATATAAGCATTGGTTCAGAGCCATGCCACTGCAAACTGGGACCAGCTTTGACACCAATAGGGTCAGCCTTCTTCATCGGCTGGTTCCTCCTGGCTCTGCAGCTCACTGTATTATATCCTATCTACTGCCCCTGTGCTCCTTCTTTAACAATCCTTCAAATAAAATTGGTCACTCACTCCATGGCTGTTTGTGGAACATTGCTGTATGCAACTGTTTCGCCCACAAAATACATTGTTAAACTAACTTACAGTATAGCCAGTGAAATGTTTTGAGACCTATCGATCATGTGATGAGGCGCTATGTCAAATGCAAAGATTATTGTAATTATAAATGTTTTCACTTGACAACATTTCCTTTTTGAAATTCCACAATATTTGGACTTTACTTTTTTCGCCTTATGTTACTGAACAGCTCCTCAACCAGTGCTTGACCTTCGAATAAAGCAGACAGATGAATCCACACTCAGTGTCGTGTGGGCAACCCCGGTGGCTGAATGGCAAAGTTACCTTATATCCTTAAAGGACAGAGAAATGACAGTCAGGAATAAAACTCTAGCAAAAGACGTTAAAGAGTGCACCTTTTCTGATCTGGTGCCTGGGCGCAAGTACAGAGTCATTGTTACCACCATTAGTGGCGATCTTAACACATCTGCCTCAGTAGAAGGAAGAACAGGTAAACAAAAGCCAGATTGTGCAAATGCATGGCCTTTTCTTTAACATTTACATGAACAATAACTGATTCCTCAAATACAACAGTAAACAACTGATTATGGTATAAAATAGTATTAGATGCACAGAATACAACCTACCATTTGAAGAATTTCATCAGCTTGTAATTGAAAAATTACGTTCCTTCATTCAAATCTACATGATCAACAAAGCTTGTGGTGCAATTTACACGCTGGTGCAATGGAATGATTTCGGTAATCAATTGATGTAACACCTGCAGGTTTCACCAGCAGTTTAGCAGAATTTACCATAGTATAAAGACACTGTAATTGAGCAAGGCCTTTCCTTTTAAACTTGCTAAGCATGTGGTTTTTCTTTTGCAGTTGGCTTTTTTTAATTAGAATTTCATCATCATCATCAGAACAACACAAAACATTTAAGGCAAACAACACACACTCACACATACACACACATAACCACATAAAATTAACTGATGACATAAGAAACTTTTTCATTGATTCTCTAACCCAGTTTTGATCTTGATTGTTTCAGTCCCAGCCCAAGTATCTAGCCTCCATGTGACAAACCAGGGCACAATCAACAGCTTACACACCAGTTGGACCAGGGCCGTTGGAGACCTTGACTATTACCAGATCCATCTCATTCATGAAAAGATAGTCATCAAAAACGAAACCGTTTCGAATGTAACGGATGAGTACCTGTTTCACTCGCTGAAATCCGGGGGCTTGTACTCAGTGGTTGTTACTACAGTCAGTGGAGGCATTGCTTCAAGGCAATCGCTCGCTGAAGAACGAACAGGTATGAAACAGGGATTGTGACTCTGGAAATGAACTGTTCTCGATAAACCATATCTGTGTGAAGGGGCAGTGAGCTGCTTTGAATCATCTGGCTCATGTGCATTTATTTTTAAATTAGGGTCTTACTGAAGCCTTGTGCCTTTTTCTTAAATAAAATGTAACAATTGTTCAGTTTGACTGTTATTCCAAGCTATTTAATCCCGGGGCCTCCTTCAAGGCCTATCTCAAGACCTTCCTCTTCGACCGTACCTTCGGTCACCCTCCTACCCGCACCTTCCCTGCCCTCCACCGCTCCTGATACCAAGCCCCAGCTTGAGTGCAAATCCTTGACTGTCCAGTGTCTTGGGACGTCCTCCCAAGACGTATGTCACTGGTGCAGGGCTGTCTCTGAAACAGACTAGGGTTATAGGTGGGCGGGAAGATGAAGTGGTTGTTTCATCAGCCTGTCCACAATGCCAATAACAGCCCTTTTAGGGTGGCAGAAATACAATACCACTTGAAATAAAACATGTTTTAATTATATCTTTGATGTGACAGATTAGTAGTGGTCAGCTAGAATATTAATGTTCCTGCCACATTTCAAAATCAATTCCTTAAGAGAAAATAAAATAAATACCATCCAGATTCTTCAAAATGCTTAAGCTAAAACTCACAATTACCACCACCAGAGGGCACAGTGCTCAGTGAAGGATGTCTTGGTCACAAAATGACCTAAATTCATTTTCATTGAATCAAGTAAACATAGCGTAATGTTTAAAGCAAAATGGTGTTATCTTTCCATTGAATTTCTTACACCGAATTGAGGCAAACTAGAGTAATGCACTCAAACGCGTGGTAGTATAATTATTCTACAGTTCACTAAAATCCCTCTTTATTCTAAGATATATTAATAATTATAATTCTAGAGAGGAAAAATTTAACAAGGTGATGCTTCAGAATATATGTGATAATCACATTGTATCTGTAATGTTATGAAACATCAGATTTTTCCCCCATGTGTGAGAATTACAAAGGCATGTTATTGTATTGTTATTATGTTAAATTCCATTACAGCTTATAATGGTGCTTGCTGATCTTTCTGTCCTTTTCCTTTGCATCTCTGCACAGTTCCTTCAAGTGTGTCCATGGTGAGAGTGAGTAACCGTGGAAGCAGTGATTACCTTCACGTGTCCTGGTTGTCGGCAATTGGGGATGTTGACAATTATTTAGTGACATTGTCCCACAACGGTAATGTTGTCCAGTCTCACACTGTCTCCAAAACCAGTTCTGAGTCTTCATTCAGCTCCCTTATCCCGGGAAGGCTGTACGATGTGAACGTCACCACCAGAATTGGGAAGTACGACAACTACACAGTTACACAGGAGCGCACAAGTAGGTAGCTACTCCACTGTTGAGTGCACTCGGAAATCAATTTCAAAATGCTCAGATGTTATCTATTATTAGAAACTGTAAAGCTCCAACATATGGCGTGGGGGGCAAGGGGGAGGAATCGAGGCATTGGATAATCTTTTCTCGTCAATTCCTTTCTAAGTATTTATTGGGCTCTTTTGGGTTGTCACTGTTCCAAAGGGTGCAGGAAGGAAGGTATGTGTCTGCCCCAGCGCCTTGGGATGTACTCCCAAAATGAAAGGCACTATACAAAAGTAACTTTGTATTGTATTGTCAAGTCACAGCCCCTAGTGCTCCCACTGCACTTTAGTACTACCCTATTATGTTGATAGATTATGTGGTACTTTCCCTTTAAATCTCCCTGCACCATTTCTAGGCCTCTGCATATGTTGCTGTGTAAAACTATTACGAGGAGGTGCAAGAGAGCAGCCTATATGACTCTCACTTATGGATGTTAGCAAGTGGCCTTGTAAAATCTTCTGATTTATGCAGAACCTGCGGCTGTGCAAAGAATCACCGTCAGCAATTCCGGGAGGAGCGATTACCTGAAGGTGTCTTGGTTGGACGCAACGGGAGATTTGGACAAATACATAGCAACAATCAAGAACAGTTACAACTACAGCAAAAGTTTAATTGTGCCCAAGTCTGAAAAGGAATGCATATTCTTCAACTTAACTCCAGGACGGGTTTACAGCATCACAGTCAGCACTAAGAGTGGGGAATACGAAGCACATGACTCAACCACCTCGCAGACATGTAAGTATGAAATCCCCCTGTAGTCCATCGACAGAACCATCAGCTTTCAAGAATATTAAATGTTCAAGTTCAGTTTATCCTTGGAATCATTTTGCTATAAGATTATTTCAATTTCACGTAATGGTTGGTTTTTGTTTGCATTTTTGAAGAGGTAGAGCAGAAACACACGCACAAAAACTAAAAAATGTCAACAGGCTTTGTATGACCCTGGGCAGAGATGACATATTCCTACCTTCATATGACATCAGCCTTAGAAAAGATACACTAGAGAACCCCCAAACATTTACCTTTTTTATTACCTAAATTAGAGTCCATCATCATCTCATCTATTTATTTCGAAACCTACATTCATGGAAAGCAGATGCTTATAGTTCTCAGTGCACACTGAGAGATATTCTAGCACCACTTTTATAAAGGTGCATTATCCAATTTACACAAACGTGAAGACTATCAGTAACTGCCGTGCTGATGGCGTTCCTGCAGAGAAAATAATAGCCACTCTATGCAATGTTTCACCTACGATTCAACTGCAACAGTTTTGAAAGTAAGGAAAGGTTCTAATGGCAAATCTCAATGACATCACCATACATTTTATTTTAATGCTTCCTTTACCACTTCATTTTAAAAAAAAATATGTTTTACCTTCTCTAAGGAGCCCATCTCATGCGTTGTATTATTTCCTAGTCAAGCATTTAGGCAATCCTGCTTCGGGCTTGCCATCGGGTGTGGGGGGGGGGGGTTGGGTGGGGGAGGAGAGGTGATTCTCTTCTGTGTTAATGTATCAATCTTGGCGGGTGAGAGCATCTTAATCTCTGCTGCTGTCCGTTGGCGATTGAGTTGCGTTCATCCAGTGAGAGTGGCTGGAGTGAATTGGCCTCACTGTTTGAAATTGAGCAGGTGGGGAATTGCTGGTATGACGTGCATTTGCTACCCAGTTGGTTAAGCCACCAGCATATTGATCCTCCCCTTTCCCTTCAGCAGCTTAATACAGGGTGACCAAAAAGTCATGATACCATTACAGTGTCTAATAAGTCTTCAAGAAATGATATTTTGGGGAGTTTTTTTGGATAATAGGGCAATTATCACGACATTTTGGTCACCCTGTACTTGTCAAGTTTAAATTCAATCTAATTTGTTTGCACCTCGTACAAGTCCTTGAATTAATGTTCCTTTAAAGTGATTAGCCTTTGGTGTTTGGTGCTTCTAAAGTGCCTTTTTAATTATGTAACTTTAAGAGTGTTGACGTCCACAATGAAAATGTTATGTTGTTTGAGCAGTTCCAGTCGCTGTTGAGAGCCTCACTGTGGCTGACAGGAGCACTGACACTCTCAACGTTACCTGGGAGGCAGCCGCTGGGGATGTGGATCGCTACGTGATTGAACTGCTCTTCAATGACATGAAGGTTTTCCCTACGATAACACTCAGCGGCACAGCACACCAGTTTACTTCCTTAACTCCTGGGCGTCTCTACAAAATCTTAGTCTTGACCCTGATTGGGGATCTGCACGTTGCTTCCTTTACAAAAGGACGGACAGGTAAAAAGAATGCACAGACACCCTATGCTAACGTAAAACTGTATCTCTACCTTATATAAATGTAAACTGTAGGAACTGTGTTAATTTTGCAACAGAGTGATTCTGTCTCATGTGTTAGCAGTAATGGCATGCTATGGTAGGTCTATTGGCAGGGGATTTGTTTTCCAAATTATGTTCAATTTATACTGCTGGTGTGATTTGTTATCACTTCCAAAAACACATTGATTCAGAGTGAGAAGCTTGATTTATGCTTCACTCTGAAATCAAATTGGCCAAGGGCAGAGAAAATTTCTGCTTTCTGCACAACTAAATGCAGCTCAGAACTCTGCTAACTAGAACTGGTGAGTTTTTAATGTTATTAAGGAACCAGTTGTACAACTGGCTCTTTGATAGTAATTAACAGTGGTCTCTTAAAAATTCGTCTAGCAGAGGCTGAAGTGATTTGCATGACCTGCATTTTTACTGGAGCAGTTATGAACTGATGCCCTGCTGAGACCAGTGCAAATTATGAGTCTCGAACCTGATTAACGCTGTGTTTTTCATGATGGTTCATTTCAATTTGCACAATTGCTGAAAAGCATGTAGTACAAAAGAGACATTGGAGGTGCAATTACTTCAAAGGAGATCAGTCGAAATTTGGCAGACAGTAATATCTAGGACCTGCCAAATTTCCCATAACTGATCATCATCTGTGAATTCCTGTTGCAAAGTACATGTGTAGAGGTCGGGTGAGAGTGGAAATGACCTCAGTCTTGATGTCCTCCACATTTCCAATAGTTTGGTCTCACAGAGAAGGTGATGCAGAAAGCTACACTGTGATCCTATCTCACCAGGGTCACCAAATGTCGGCTCACAGGGTTTTGAAACATGTGTTTGAGTACACCTTCAATGACCTTGAGGCTGGAGACCTTTATCATGTTTCCATTCCACCACTGTTAAGCACTCCGAGAAGCTACCCCATGTGAAGTGCGTTATATAAATGCAAGTTGTTGTTGTTGTAGTCTTTTGATGTCGATTGACTGTGCTCACACACAAAGGATAATTATTTAAGTGAGATTTACCAAAATCATGAAACTACCTCAGCAAGAATTTGCACTTTCAGGAAACAAAGTTAGAAAAATGCCAACACAAAACATGTTTTATTATTTGGATATGTGTTAGTGTATCATGTATTTGTGTAACTACTAAAATCCTCTGCAACTGATTCTTACAGTACCCAGTGCAGTCAAAGACATCCACGTTTCCAACAATGGAATGACCAAGAACCTGAAGGTAAACTGGTCTCACGGAGGAGGTGACGTGGACAGCTACACTGTGATTCTGTTTCACCATGGTCGCCAGATCTCTACCCACAGCGTTCTGAAACATGTGTACGAGTACATCTTCAATGACCTTGAGGCTGGAGACCTGTATCAAATTACCGTTCAGTCAAACAGTGGTAACCTCCACAATAATTCAACAGCATTTGGACGCACTGGTAAGACAATGCTCACAGGTCTCCTGTAATTAGCTTATCTTCTCTGGTGTACAAAATATATCAAGTTGATACACTTACCCAACACTTTATATCCATTAATAGATAAGTATACCCAATACTTTAGACCTATTAATGGATAAAAATATCCATTACTGTACACCTATCAATAGATAAATATACCAAAGACTATATATCTATTAAAAGATAAATGTATCCAACACTTTACACCTACTAGATAAATATACCTATCGCTTTACACCTATTAGTAATCAAATCCATAGGTTACCTGACACTTTATATCTATTAATAAACAAATTGGTAAATTTACCAATAAACCCAACATTTTATGTAACATTAAAATTCCTGCTGATTTGTTTCATTTCTCTTTCTTGTCTAGCCCCTGCTTCAGTCACAGGTTTGACTGTTGATAACAAACACACAACCTCTACCCTGGTGGTGTCCTGGCAAACAGCCACTGGTGTTTCAGAAGGTTACAGCCTGCAACTCCTCAGTGAGCAGAGAACTCTGATCACAAACGTATCTGTGTTGCCATCCATCAGGGGGCACAAGTTCGAAGACCTGATCCCTGGGAAAAAGTATAAAATCAGTGTTTATACTGTCAGCGGAGGGCTGAGTAGCACTGAAGCAACCATCGAGGGGAGAACAGGTATAACTCATATTTAATGGTAAAAGTTTTTTTTAACAGAAAGATTCCACAGGTTACAATGGCCGTTGAGTTTATAAAGCAGCTCCCATGGTGTGCAAGCAAATTGAATCCAAGATTCCAAGATCTCTTATATCTACTTTTTTGCTGAAATAAAAATTAGATTTCACTGGAGTCTTTGACACATCGAGTCCAGCCTGGCCGCTCAACAGCCATAATTGGGTCACAGTCTGCAAATAGGCATGCCAACATCTCAGTACAAGGCTTTACACTTATGTACGTTACAGTTCAAATGACATTAGTTTGAACGACACACATCAAAGTCAAGTTGCCTACTGCCCGCTGCTGATGCTTCTTATTTCCAGGCATCATGCATTGAATGTTGGATGAGATGAAAGGGAAATCAAATATTCAGAAGCACAGGTCATGTCAGTGAAAAAGAAAATATTGTTTCCCCTCCTGCCTTCATATCATAATCTCCAATAAATTAAGATGAACCACATGGGCTATAACCTCATAAGTAAGCTTCCTCACCCAAAGCAGTATTCTGTACATATCACTACAAGGCAGCCTCCACAACTAATGTACTTGTAAGAGTACAGCAACTCAAAAAGGGAATATATTACAGAGTTCATTACTTTAACCAAAACCAGAATCAGGAGCATTTATTTTTGCATTAAGGTTACAATACTTTGTTCCTGTTGTGTTTTCAGATACAATAGTTGCAGAGATTTTATAGATACATATAAACTAGCTATATCCATTTCACCTTCTCTTGCAACCATAAAATCCAATATGGAATGTAGATTGACACACAGACAGACATTTCATCTTTATCTATACTCAGCTGGGAGGACTCCTGTGCGAGGACTCCTTTAATATATTTTCTCTCACAGTCTCTCTTAGTCTCTCTATCTCGTTTTCTCAATCTCTCTGTCTCTCTCAGTCTCTCTCTCTCACTCTCTTAGTCTCTCCCTCAGTCAGACACAAAGGCAGACCTGTGGGAGGACTCCTTTTGGGAGGACTCAGTGGGAGGATTCCTTTAATATATTTGCTCTTACAGTCTCTCTGTCTCAGTCTCTCTGTCTCTCGCTCTCTCAGTCACTCTGAAACTCTTTCTCTCTCTCTCTCTCTCTCTCAGTGTCTCTCTCAGTCACTCTTAGTCTGTCTCTCTGTCTCTCTCTCTCTCCCTCGGTCTCTCTCACTCTCTGTAGGCTTGACTACATCAAATCCTTGCTTGTCAGCCTTCCCAACTCCTCCCTCCACAAGCTGCAGATTATCCAGAACTCTGCATCTTGTGTCCTCTCCCGCACCAGGCTCTGTGACTCCATCACACCACCCTCGCCCAGCTCCACTAGCTCCCCATCCCCATTATGGAGTCTGTAGCTCAGTGGTTAGAGCACTCACCTCGCAAGTGAGAGACCTGGATTCAATTCCCGGCAAAGCGAAACCTTGGGCAAATTTCCTTACTCCACATGCCTGATAATAATCCCTCAAGGAAATAAATAAAATAACAATTTGATCACTCAATCCACGACTGTTTGTGGGACACTGCTGTGCGCAACTGGTTGCCGCGTTTTGCCCACAAATATACTTTAATATTTACTTTATAGTATATTCTGTAAAGCACTTTGAGACGTCTAGAAGACGTGAAAAGCGTTATATCAAATGCAAGGAGTATTATTATAATAAATATATTTTTGATATTCTTATTTATATGTAAATAAAAATTATTTGTGATATACCGCAAATATATATGAAATGCTTATCTTTGAGATTAAGCCAGACAATTAGCTCCACTTGGTCTCCACTAAGCCTTGAGAAACGTTGTTGCCCATCTCTAGAACACGAGAAATTCATTGAAGCGCGGTAGTAAAAAAACACAGAATACCAATATTTCCATTGTAACTATATCAAATATGTAGACTGAGTTAACATAACTCGAAATGATTCTTTCAACAGTAAGATGCCCTCAAATCAGAAGTATATTAATTAAAGCAATATATACATATTATGTAATCATTCATAACAGGAGTTGCAAATACAATCTCCTTCTGGTGATTGGAAGTGCATCAAATCGGGAATTCTACTCCTATGTGATGTGCTATAGAATGGGCTAGTATGATGTATTTTCAGTAACTGGCAGGAATTGTTGGATATTAGACACCATTATGATGCTGAATTAAACACTGCATGATAAATAAAGCACATTAAATTGCAATTGTGAGACTAAACTGAATGTTGCTTACAATTAAAGTCAATGCTATCATTCTTATCCAATTCTCAATTGTGATTATTTCCTGATCGAATTTCTGAATTCAGACATTTCAAAATGTAATGCTTTCTAAACATAATTACAAGTCTATTAATCTTTGAGCAATTTCTGAAACATTTCATTTTAGTACTGAGCCTGTACTATCAAAATCCCAGAGAAAGGTGTTAAAATCAAATCCCTCTGGAAAGTACAAGTTGAACTGAAAAGGGATTATTACAGAAACGTGAAATGTTGAAGATGTACAACTGTTGTCATTCTTGTTCCATTGGTTTTTTCTCTCGTATAAAAGATGTGCTCATTATGTGTTTGTGTGTTCAGTTCCAGCATCAGTCACGGATCTGAAGGTACAAAAGAGCAACACGGACACGCTCTCATTCAGCTGGACTATAGCAGAAGGCGAATGTGACTTTTACGAAATATTCCTGTATAATATAGATAAAACCCTTCATGACAGGAAGTCTCATGGCAAACAGAGCCTTGAGAAATGCTCATTCCAGAGTCTGACACCAGGCAAAATGTATAAGCTGGTGATAGTCACTCATAGTGGAGACTTAACAAATGAATCTTCGGTTTTTGCAAGGACAGGTAAAACAATACTTCATTAAATATACCAATCTGTTTGTCAAAGGCTTTAGCAGCATGATGATATATTCATTATCATTCTGCTAGTTCCAAGTTATTAATGATATGTTGCACTGATACATTCATAGTGTAAGAAAATAATAAATTGGTCACTCAATCTAAGTCTGTTTGTGAGACACCGCTGTGTGCAACTGGCTGCCACGTTTCGCCCACAAATATACATTCAATTCACTTTACAGCATACTCTGTGAAGCCCTTTGAGACGTTTAGAAGACATGAAAAGCGTTATATAAAATGCAAGGATTATTATTATTATTAATCAGACAGGAATAACGTCAGCGTTTAGATGCCCAAAGCTTTCCCTCCCCACTCCTGAAAATTTTATATCCTGTCATAATGGCTCCCAGGGTAGATGGAACAAGGACAAATCTGAATTAATCTCCCTTCCACGCAGAGGGGGGGTGTGCCGAGCACCAGTACATCCAGATCTTTTCCCTCACTCTTTCTCTTCTAAAGGCCTGGTACAGTTTCACAGGCATCAGCAGACCCCTGGTACCTCTGCTATTCTATAAAGCTCACATAGTGAGCGATGGCACCAATATCGCAGCTGAGACAGCCTGTGCTGCCCTTTTCAACGGAATGTGAAGGTGGGGGAGGTGGGATAGTACTATCTGAATTTTCCTCTCAAATTCAGGGATTCTAAAGCCAGTTAGTAGCACCTTTGAAGCTAAAAAGCCATTACATGACATTTGTCCTGAAACCCAGAAGGCTTTATGCATTGTATTTTGATAATGTCAGTTGCTAACCGGATTTTCCCCATTATAATCATGCATCGCCAAAGCTGATACACATGACCCCTGGAATTTTAGGCCACACATACTGTGTTAGCTGCTGTGGGCTGTTCAAATAGAATACTCCCTCACACCCCAGCAAATGATTCAAAATTGCTAACCCAGATCATATATAAGATAGAGCAAAGACAAAAGAGCTTTGATCAAATGGGAGAGGATATTAAAAGCTGTCACTGCAATGCTTTGTTCGTAGATTTATGATTACAAATTTCAGAAAGTATACAAGTAGCTCTTTAATGACTTTACTCTTTGTGCTGTTTTATCCTATTAATTTAGCAAAATTAAACCAATTCTGATATGTTTAGTTCCAGCTCAGGTGACTCAACTGCAGTGGATGAACATAAACTTGACAGACAGCCTGAGGTTCACCTGGACCCCATCAGATGGGGAATTTGATTCCTACAACATATCACTTTATAATCCTAACAGCACCATGCGGGACAAAAGATTTGGGACAAAAGAACTCAAAGAATGCCATTTTGAAGGTTTAATACCCGGTAGGATTTATCACATGGTCATTGTGACACAAAGTGGAGAACTAAGCAACGAAGCATCTATAGAAGGCAGAACAGGTAAAGACTGACTTTTTCTTCATATATATCTATTATGTACTAATAAAACAACAATGTTTGTCTGTGCTTCAAGAAGGATCTCAATAACCGATTGATGTAGAGACATGATTTATACTTCATCGGAAATGGCTTGCACCTGGTAGTGACATGGGCATATGTGTATCTCCTATCATTCATGAGTTATTTTTAGTTTTGAGTTTTATGCTGCAGTTACACCTGGTGGCTGCCGAGTCAAACAGCACTGTGGCATTTTGCATCACAGAGCGCACACGTAGTCAAGTGGCAGAAATAAAATAAAGAGCACAGATGAAGCTAAGCCATGGCAACAACAACAAAATTACATTTTTAAAGCACCAAGTCCTCCCACTGTAACTGCAGTGTAAAATGCATAACTCATGGATGATAGGAGATACCCAAAAACAAATATGCCCATGTCACTCCCAGATGCAAGATCTTTCAATGAGGTATAAATCATGTCAATGGGTTATTGAGATCCTTCTTGAAGTGCAGACAGACATTGTCGTTTTATTAGTATATAGATAAGAAGATGGATGGATGGATGGATGGATGGATGGATGGATGGATGGATGGATGGATGGATGGATGGATGGATGGATGGATGGATGGATGGATGGATGGATGGATGGATGGATGGATGGATGGATGGAGAAGAATATATACTAGATAAAGACAAAATGTCTGTCTGTGTGTAAATCTACATTGCATATTGGATCTTTTGGTTGCGAGCGTAGAAAGTTTAAACTATCCACAGACAGTAGAGCAGTAATCGATAGCTGATGATATAATGAAAAATTAATAACTCTCCGGTTTATTTAAAAAGACTAAATGGTACTGATAAATTTTACAAATCAATAATGACAGAGAAAAAAAACTAGAGGAGAAGGCTAAATTAAGACCGGTTGCTCCATTTGAATACGTTTTACAATGGAGCTGAGCCCACGACTCCTGTAATCGCTTCACTCGCTCTTCTCTCAAATTTCAATCTCCTTTCAACTTCTGTGGACAGGATTGTAGGAGTGGAAACTACAGAATAGCAGACAAAATGATTCGCTGAAATGACATTTCTCCTGGTATTTCTTAAATGTTTCAACAAAAAATGTACTTAGCAGGGAATTGAAGACCTGGAAATAAATTGCACTGCTTTCATTCATATGTTAAATCAGAGATTTTTTTAAAAATTTCAGTTAGTAATCTGTACTGCATCAACTATTTATTGAATTCTGCATCACTATAATTGGACAGTAAAAGCTATAATCTGTGAAACTAAATTTCAATTTCATGGTTATTTAAAGTTCAGATGTTAGTAGCTGGTATCACTCAGGATAAAAGCAGCAACCACAACAGCATATAAACACATTCTATATTCTTTATACAGTATTGCTCAGTGTAGTACTGCACTTAATTCCAGGAAAAAATCAGAAAATCTCACAAATAGAAAATGGCTCTATTATACATAAAATTTATATTTTATTCCCTTTAACTCTCCTCCATTTATGTGAATTTGCTTTCGTCCTATTGCTCTTGGGTATTGCTATGCACAAATTAGCTGATGCAGTTCAGCTACAAAATTTACAGTCACTACACTTTACAATAAATTCTGTGAAACTCTTTGAGTCACCTTTCCAGTGTGAAGATTACTATAACAAAGGAAAGGATTATTATTGTAATTAGCAGCAGCAAATCCCCATCATGGAGTCCAGATCATGGTAGACTGGGAGGGGTGCACTTCTGCACTTCTTCCCTGTTGTGCCCTCCCTGATTAACAGAGCAGTCCACAACCACAGAGTGTTCCTTCTGCTAATCCAAGCAGGAGCTGGTGATACTCTTTTATAGAGAGCAGGTTAGTCGAGACTGATGTTCCAACTTGGACTCAACTAGTCATTTAATGCTTGAACTACTGAGAAATTCATCAGTTGAGTCTAGGCATCTTTGTTAGGTGCTTGAACTCAGTTGAAATCTCACATACCGGGAAGGTCAAGGCTAATTTAGCCTTCCCACTTTGTACTTCTGGAGGCAATAGCATCACTTTCTTTGCCTTACACCACAGTTAAGTAAATACACAATCAAATACTTCATGGAACATATTGGATGAATTGGTATTTTGGAGATTTATTGGATATCTATACCTTCAGTATAATTAATGCAGAACATTCTTCGAGATATTAAATACACTTGACAATAAGGCAGATTGTGAGCGGTCTATTGAAGGAGCAGGCTAGATAATTGATTTTATGATTTTATCCTTACCAATATTCTCATAAGAATCAATGTTGTTGCAGATTAAGATAATAAGGATTTTTTTTTAATCAAAAAAGGCCCTCCTTCCACACATGGAGATTCAACCTTATCCCAATAACATTGCCTTGGTGTAAAGGCATTCCATTTCCATGGTAGCTCAGTTAAGTGCAGCAGCAGATTTAGAGCAAGTCAGAAACAGCTATAGACTTAAAGGGAAACAGTCATTGTTAATGAGGATGGAAACAGATTTCACTGCCTCAGGCAGAATAGCTTCTACCAAACAAAACCACAGTCTTACAAGAAAATCTGCTAATTGTTTGCAAGTTGCAAAGAAAATGTTATATTTAGCAAACAAATTAATGGATTTTGAATGCATTGAAAAACTTGCAGAGATCAGAATGATATCTACACTTATAATTGGGTTTATTTGGATCCCTGCTCTCAAAATGTAAATTCACTGCCGTGCGCTATGTGCTATCCTGCTCCATTCAGTAATTTTCACAAATTGATGCCTGCACCTTTATAAATTACTTCAATAGCATTTTGACTTATAAATAACACTCCACATTGGAGGATTGACCTTGTACCTGAAGGATTCACTGGTCACAAATCCTTTTTGTGAGCTACAGTTTTGTTATTGTGGTACTTTATTGTGAATTCCAAAGTGCCTAACCGCAAATCATACAGAATTGCTTCTGTTCACTATCCTGATCAGATTCAATATACAGCACAATAAATGGAACAAAAGTCAGCATTTCTTTACAAAATCGGTGATGACTATCCCCTGATCAGATAATGCTTTTCTATTTCAATCACGGTTTAAGGATCTGACTGTACATTATATAGCTGAACCCTCATTATGACACACGTGGTTACAATTCCGGCTGGCTCCTAAATACACTTGGAGTGTGAACCCCAATATTTAATTACCAAAAAATTGAAAATGTCATTCTGTCTCCCTTCTCTGGAACTCCATCCACTAGTTGCTCTACCTCACTCCGACCCCCACCCATTTTGCACTCAGGTGCACAGTCAGCTGCGTAAAACACCTCGAAAGATCCTCCCAACATGAAAGACACTCAATAAATGCAAATTGTTGTTGTTGATCTAATAAGTTTTTAATGCCTTACTTAATGGTTTTGACTAACGTGTGCTGCTAATCTCCGATTCTCTTAAAGCTCCAAACCCTCCAGGAACAATGTCCTTTGCTGATGTTACAAATACTTCACTGGTTATCACATGGCTTGGTCCTCCAGAGCAGACAGATTACGATGACTTCGAGCTACAATGGACCCCGAGAGATGCTGGAGTTGTCGTTTTTAATCCTTACAACACGGTTAAATCAAAAGGGCGCATAGTACAGAAGCTCCATCCTGGCCGCCACTACACCTTCAGTCTCCGTACTGTCAGTGGGACGATATTGAAATCTTTCAGTGAATCTGTTCTAGCAGATATTAGAACAAGTAAGTAATATCACAAAATCTTTTCAACTCCCCTGGTTAAATTGCAGCTATACCTTTAAATGCCTTGAACATTCCCCTCTGGAACATTTATATTTGAAGCAGATCTACTCAATGAAACCTTTTCACCAGCAACTCAAATCTAGGTCAAATGCATTTCTAAGTCAAAACATTTGTTGCATCATTGTTTTTCTTTTACTGGATTAATGAATTGCTGGATTATTGTAATGATTTTTGGATAAACCTTCCCAGAGATAGAATTTGTCAGATTATTGAAAGCTGGATTAAAGAAATGTGGATTGTTTTATGTGAATCTTCTGTATTTCTGTACGCAGTGCCAAACATGCACCAGAACAGCACTCTTGTTGTTATCATCAACCTGCCAGCAATATTTGCAGTGTTAAAAGAGTGAAGGAAAGCCAAAAATAAAAAGTCAAGTAATTAAAATTGACGCACGAGGGATACATAGTACTGAAGAGAAATTAAAATGAAAGAGAGATTTAGAAATGCAAATGAATACGTTAATAAGTTGATTGAATACAATACACACTACAAGAATATACAACTGGCAGAATATATGTATATGGATACCTCCTTTTCCAGTAGCAAGTCTCATTTTCTATCTCACCTTTTTCCTGGGTGTTTTTAGCCAGGAAATCTCACATAGATTTGAAAACCTTCAAACCTTCATAAACAATGAAAATCACTTCTTTGGATGTCAGGCATGTCACATGTTGCTTCATTTACATTATCAGTTTACCCCTGTTACCAACTGCAAATTTGTAGTGTAAATGTAGGATTACTTATATAGTCAGATGTGTTAGTCAGCGAGAGCACAGGAGAGTCATTCTTTCAGTGTAATTTCTCATTGAAAAACTATATTAAAAAAAGGCTTGAATCTTGGATATTACTGTCAGCAATCCAAAGTCTTGTTGACTAATGGTCTCTCATTTACTGCCCATATTCCGTGAAGCGCTTTGAGACATTTCGAAGACGTGATAAGGTGCTATATCAAATGCAAGGATTATTGTGCAAGGAGATGAATAGTGATCAGTATCCTCTCTGCATTTGATGCAGATCTTGTTTCTTCAATGCAAAATAAAAACTCCAAACCATTCAAGACTTGGTTCTCATCATAATTCAAGCCTCAAGCAATACTACGTTTTCAATGACAGAGTCAAAATGATATATTGGATGCACCTCTCCAGAATGTAACATTCCCTTTTGGTAAATAGCTATCCATGTAAATTGTATTCCATGCTATATCAAAGTTAATTTTACAATTTCCTTTAAAATTGCAGAGCCGGACAAAGTGCAGCATATCCGCTGTCGACCGCAGAGCTCAACTGCCGTCTCCTGCTCTTGGGCGAACCCTGATTCAGACTATGACAGCTATAACATCGAGTGCTACCATGATAGCAATAATCAAGACATTGTGTATTCAAGAAGAATCGAGAAGGAATCAGTTCAGCACATCATTGAGGATTTGGAGCCACACAAGAAATATTTAGTAGCTATAAAGGTTGTCTCTGATAAAATGGCCAGTGACGCTGTAGAGGACAGTGTTATTACCATGATTGACAGTATGTATCCCATTATTGTCTTGTTTTATAAAACGTTATGATCTGAGATTCAAAATATCTCATGACCTGAGCTGTAAAACCACATCTTAATATTGTAAAAAAAAGATTTAAAAATGTTTTCAAAATTCTGAATGATTGTACATTTAACACAATGGTTTTAAGACTATGACAGTGGGAAATTTCAGGCTTCAGATTAAGGTTGTAAAGATAGATGAACTGAAATGGTCAAATATTCCTTTTGCTTAGCCAATTGTTTATTGAAACACCATTATCAAACTGATTCTCAACTGACCTATTTCAAACAGCTAGTTTGAGTTGAAACATGGCACTTGTAGTACCCTCTTAAGAGAGCTACATTATTGGTTTGAGGTCAAGATGCTTGTGGAGTCATACTTGGTCTCTGAACGCACAAATAATAATCAATAATACATGCATTTGGTATAGCATTTTTCACATCGGGAGGACACATGAAATCACTACAGGAATTAGTACAACGTGTAGTGACTGTGTGTTTGTAGGCAAATAATTCAACTGAAAGTTTTATCAGAAGTTCACCCATTGTTTTTTGTGGAATGTTTGAATAAAGAGTCTTTAAGCGTTTTTGTTTGGGGGGATAGGGTCTAAAAAGAGGTGGTTAACAGGATTCACTAATAACAGCTCAGATTCACGACCAGGGGATCTGGCAGTACATTATGGCTAACTTACAGAAACCCAGTGAACTATTTCTAGCATTTTTGAAATGGCACTCCACAAGACTGCACTGAGGTATTGTCAGTGACAAGCAGGGTTTTCATTTTGTACATCTGAATCGGTAGTTGAAAATCATTACAAACTGTGATTTCCAGACACCATAATTTGAACAAACATATTGCAGCAGAATAGCTCTACAGCTGATCAGAGTAGCTCTCTGGCTGATCATTTTCATTCAGTGCCAATGTTAAAGTTTCTTATAAAAGTTAATAAAAAGTATTATAATTTTTTCCTTTTCCCCCAGGTCCACCTACTCCACCTCAATACATTCGAGTCAATGACAAAGCAGCTTCCATTACCACATCAACCATATATTTCAATTTTAATTGTAGCTGGTTCAGTGATATAAACGGAGCCATAAAATACTTCACTGTGATAATGTGTGAATCAGACGGTAAGTGTTCATCCCAATTTTTACTGTGTGATTCTATAGACACTCTAACGAATAAGATCCAATAAATGTACACATATGGTATCATTGGTGACATACACAGACATATTGGAGAGGATTTTCATGGAGTTTGCTTTGATGAGAATGTACCTTAACACACCTTCAACCACGCTTATGGTCACCTGCGCTTTCTGCTTTGCTCAACATCAAACCTAAGTACTGCGCAGCACTCTGAGATGCTGTCCTGAGTGAAGGGCACAGTATAAATATAAAGTTGCTGTTGTTGAAACCATCTTTGTGGGCTTTGGGAAGTGTTCCCACTGCCCACTCCCACCTGTGTTTTCCTTCACATTAACATTAGCCGCTCTCCATGGATCCTTCACGCACCGTCCTGTCCTATTCCTACAACATCATATTCCTGATACAAAAGTCAACTTTCAATTTTCTGTATTATAAAACTTCAGTGCAACCAAGATTTCATGCATAATTCCTCACAAGACAATCATTGAAAATAACCGATAAAATACCAAAAAATCTGATTCTTATACTCTGAGATTCTGACACTTAGTGTCATACAGCCACATTTACTATGTGGAGCAAGAAGTGTGGCCAATGAAGAACCTACAAGGGTGTAGCAGCTTGTATAGATGTTATATAGTACTGAATTTTACGTTAACACCAACTCTTTTAATACTATTTTAGGCATTGACAGTTCAAAACCAGAAAGGAAACACCCATTGCCATCCTATCTGGAATACAAACACAACAACTCAATTCAAATCTATCAGACAGATTATTTTTCAAGTAGATGTGGAGAGAACCCTGACGGCACATTTCAAACCTTTGAAATAAAAATTGGAGATGAGATGGAGAAACTCGGAGGGAAGTGCGAAAAGGACCATGAGACATTCTGCGATGGACCATTGAAACCCAGAACATCATACAGGTCAGACTTCTTGAAAGAATCGTCTCCGGACATGTTCTCACACAGTATTAACCAGAAAGTCTTTTTTTCTATTGTGTCCAATGCAATAGGAATAATATGTGGGTTATTCTTTTAGAATTAGCGTACGGGCTTTCACCCAGCTGTTTGATGAAGACGTAACAGAGGTCCCCAGTCCTTTGTTTTCAGACACTTATTTCTCCTTACCTATAACCACCGAGTCAGGTAATCCATTCCTTCTGATATCTTGATTCAAAACCCTAACATATCTAGTGGGCAGATCCTTTTATCCTTGTCTTTCATTAATTTAACAGTCTTTACATTATATCATTCCTCTATATTGGTGTTTTCCCTTTTCAATTTCTGAGAATGTTCAAATTATTCTACCTTTGTAATATGTGTATTTCCCGATGTTCTTACATTATTTTAAAGATCATTTGTAGTGGGACTTTTTAATACAGAAAACGGAAGTATGCCATCCTGACCTGTGGGAACTCCACTCCCAATACACTCTTCTCTAAGAGCCAAATTCCCATATGCCAGCATTCCCATACTTCCACTTACCAGAAGGAATTCTGATTCATATTCTCTAATAAGGAATCTCATTGTTAATCACTGCATTTTAGAATGTAGAGAGATGACTTTCCTGGATCCTCAGTAGAAATTGGATCAGATGTGACAGGATCTTTATGATTCTTTCAGTGTCTCACAGAGTTATGTATCCCATCCTTAGAACCCCTCTTCGGTGTCATAGAAGGAGCAAGTGCTGGAGTTTTGCTGATTGTTGTGCTCATTTTGGTTACGGCTATAATAGTGTGCAGAAGAAATGTGGAGCCAGCGTGAGTATTTACATCCATTGTTGCAGTTTCCAGGCAGGGCGAAACCTTGGGCAAGTTTCCTTACTCCACACGCCTAATAATAATCCCTCCAAAACCAAAAACAATAATTAAATTGGTCATTTTCAATCTATGACTGTTTGTGGGACATTGCTGTGCGCAATTGGCTGCCGCGTTCGCCCACAAATATACAGTCAACTCACTTTACAGTATATTCTGTGAAGCGCTTTGGGACGTCCTCCCGACGTGAAAAGCGCTATATCAAATGCAAGGATTATTATTATTATTATTATTACATTTGATTTGCGACAATCAAGCTCCCTACACACTATTAGATTCAGAGATCGCACATAACAATGCAAGAATATGATTAAAATAAATATGGTTATATGTACACTTCTATAAAAGAAAAGTGTTATCAATGTACAAATGTTTAAAAAGCTCAAAAAACTAGATAATGCACACCAGTCATTATTAAAGTGTGTCACTGTGGGGAGAGAAGCTGTTACATAAATATAAAATGCTGGTGCAGTTCAGCTTAAGTCAGATCAGTTGCAATACATCTGAGAATACACGCTCTTTGTGGACACAGTGAATGACAGAAATTACACTCCAGTCTATTTCATGTGAGATCACTATTTGCTCAGAATCCCATGGATTGGATTCTGGCAATTCCTTCAAGTGGCAGATAGGAACCAGAAAATAAATGTACCATATTGTAACCATATTGTAACCAAGAAGCGAGGAGAGCAAGACACTGACTTTTATCTAGAGTGCAGTGTCTTACACAACTAGCTTTATTTTATTACTGGGATCCAACAGGTTAAATATAAATTTTAGCACTTTTCAATTATGTTTCGTAAATTTCCAATCTCGTTGTGATTCTAGGAACATTCAAGCCAGAAGCCAATCCAAACCAAAGGACAGACCCTCATCAGTTAATGTCCCTCTTGTACAGGGAAGGTAAGACTGAGGTTAAAACACTGTACAAGAATATTTTATTTAGGCAAGTACATTTTGAATTAAGGCTCCCGCAAGAGTACTCACTGGGACATTTTTTCTGTCTCTTTTACAGAAAACCACCAATCACCAGGTTAGTTTCAATGTTGCTTATCAATGATACATATATATCATTGGATAGTTATTTGAAAAGATTATGATTTCTCATTTGCTTCCAAATCTATACTGTTGATTTAATACTTTCAAATTCATTTCAGAGAAATAAAGGCAAACCAGTTTGAAACTCATTTTACCAAACTGCAAGCAGATTCCAGTTATCTCTTGTCAGAGGAATATGAGGTACGACTGAACGACTTATGTATTTGGAATTGCTGAAAAACAATTTTTCTATTCTGGTTATGCTGAGAGTTCTAATTGAAATCTGCCTGTATATATTATTCTAAATTATTTCTCTTTGCTCATTTAAAAGGATTTAAAAGAAATTGGACGAAACCAGCCTTTTGACACAGCACTTTTACCTGAGAATAGAGGGAAAAATCGATACAACAATATTCTGCCTTGTAAGTATAATATCATTTCAGTAAATCTGAGCAGACTGTTAGTCAATGATTAATAGAAACTGATAGAACTATTTCTAAAATATCACCTGTAAGTTATTTTTGCCACCACAGGTTAAATGACACATTCTGACACTAAACTTGCCATGTCTATAGCTTAGACTTTAAAATGATACTTTCAACTTGCCATCTACTTTTAAATAATTGGAGGTGGGTTTGGCTATAAGTCCAGTTGAGAACTCAATAATTTTTAACAAGTTTGAGGAAGGTAGAGACTGCTGTGCTGCTTCTTAAACTATAAGATTATAAAATGGTTCAAGGTTAACATAAATAAGTTGTTTCCACTGTTAGAGGAGTCTGTAACCAGGGAATACAGGTATAAGGTAACGGCTAGGGGATCTAAAATAGAATTTAGGAAGAACTACTTCACACAGAGGGTAATGAGATTGTGGAACTCACTGCCTGAAGCGGTGATTTAATCAGATAGTATAGATGTATTCAGGAGGGAGAGGGGAATAAAAGGATATCATAGAATCATAGAATCATACAGCACAGAAAGAGGCCATTCGGCCCATAGCGTCTGCGCTGGCTCCTAAAAGAGCAATCCAACTCAATCCCACTGGCCCGCTTTCTCTCCATAGCCCTGCAATCCTATCCTCCCCAAATACCCATCTACTTCTCTCTTAAAAGTTGTTATTGAATCGGCTTCCACTACCCTTTCAGTTAATGCATTCCCGATCCGAACAACTCGCTGGTGNAAAAAAATTCCTAACCTCCCCTCTGTTTCTTTTAACAACTATCTTAAATCGGTATCCTCGGGTTACTGACCCACGTGCCAGTGGAAACAGTTTTACTGTTTCAACCTATCAAATTTTCTCATGATCTTGAAAACCTCTATTAAATCCCCTCATAATCTTCTCTGCTCTAGGGAGTATAATCCTAGTTTCGCTAATAACTAAGCTAATAACTAATAACTCATAACTAAGGTCTTTCATTTCTGGTATCATCCTGGTAAACCTCCTTGGTACCCTCTCCAATCCCCTAACATCTTTCCTAAAGTGCGGGAGGGATTAAGGAATGGATGAAGACTCATGTGGTGTATAAACACTGGCACGGACTGGTTGGGCCAAGGGGCCTGTTTCTGTGTTGTATATTCTTTGAAGATCTTTGTAGTAAGCAATATAAAGTGATTCTGGTCTGTTATTGCTTCCCACCAGATGATCCAACCCGAGTGAAGTTATCTTACATTGATGATGACCCTTGCTCAGACTACATCAATGCCAGTTACATTCCAGTATGTCCTGTCACTTTTTTCCATAGTCACTATATTTGTATATTTATTTAATTCAGTGACGTTATTCCCTGAATTTATTGATTCAAGATGCCACAGTTTTGTGTAACCTTTGAAATAACCTGCTTTTTGGGGGAATTTTAGGGTTGCAGCTTTCGCAGGGAATACATTGCCACTCAGGGTCCTTTGCCTGGCACCAAAGATGACTTCTGGAAAATGGCTTGGGAGCAAAACATTCACAATATTGTGATGGTAACGCAATGTGTAGAAAAGGGAAGGGTAAGTATTTAACATTACTGTCCCATTTTATCAATTGTGATATTGATAAATAATTTTAAGTGCTGAACGATTAGAATCTGTTTGTAAAATAAAACTTTGCATTATGTAAAGATTCATTCAGATGTTCAAGCTTCAAAGTTTCCTTTGTGCTCTCTCACAAACAGGTAAAATGCGATCATTACTGGCCTTTTGACCACGATGCCTTATATTATGGAGATCTCATAGTTCAGTTGCTGTCAGAATCCGTGTTACCAGAATGGACCATCAGAGAGTTTAAAATTTGCAATGTAAAGATGCACATTTTTTATTATTTCTCTTTAAGTTGCTTTTAAAAAATAATGTGCATCTCTATAAGTGGTTGAGGAATGGTTTACTTGTACAAACCATTCCTCAACCATGTAGAAAGATCCACTTGTGTTGCTTTCATTTGGCAAAGCAAAATTCTTGTTAAATCAAATTAAACAGTTCTCTATGTAAATTTGCATGCAGGGCTTTCATTCGCAGCCCCTCGTAATAAAGGAATGCACGCAGATACTTTTTTGGCTATTGTTATTAAGTTATGATCTTGTTATTCAGGAGGACCAGCTTGACTGTGCTCGAATTGTTCGTCACTTTCACTACACGGTTTGGCCGGATCATGGCGTGCCAGAAACAACACAGTCTCTAATACAGTTTGTTAAAACCGTCAGAGATTATATTAACAGATCGCCAAACTCTGGACCCACAGTGGTACATTGCAGGTACAAACCATTCAACTGTGCAGTTATCTTGCATTAAGATTTTACACTTAGAACTTTAATCTAGAGACGTTATAGATTTATTGATCAACAGGAACAGGAATTAATACCTGCAGCAAAAAGACTAATGTCTCACTAAATAGGGTAATTATATGATATACACAGTATGAAACATAATTATATGTAATAATAATCCTTGCATTTGATATAGCGCTTTTCACGTCTTCTAGACGTCTCAAAGCGCTTCACAGAATATGCTATAAAGTGAATTGACCGTATATTTGTGGGCATATTTATATATGCCGTATTTATACCTTTATATGTAATGCAACACATAGAGAATAAGGACAACTGCACATCATTGTTGGTGTGAGAAGGAATGAGGCACTTGTGACTTCAATACCTTTCACACCACGGCATCATCAATGGTGCATCATCTGATCCAGGTTTTATAATTTGTTCCTAGCTATTTTACTGATTAGTTCTTTCCTGACTTCCTTGGTGTGTATGAAGATGAAGGATATCAGTGGTGGGTCAAGTACTTGTCAGCATCAAACACCCCCAGCTCAGGTGCATTTGAACAACAACACATGAAGCACATAATAAAGCTGGTTAAGGATGAGCAACACTGCTTCCAACAGCATTAACTCAAATCTCAAAAGGAGAATAAGTAGAGCTCCTGATTGCTTACTGTACCAGTGTGAACTTCCACTCTTACGATGTCTGAGAGTGACACTGAAATGGTCAATTGTTGAAACATCGAATAGGAATCGATTTGAGATTGGCACAGACTCCTATTAAATAGCAGAGAGGAGATATGTTTCAGACTGGAATGGACTTGAACATAAGAATTTGCTAGGCGAAAAAAGACCGAGGTCCATTTAGTTCACCTTCCTCCATTCTGGCAGTTGCTTGACATGTCGTGTCCCAAACTATATACTGTATCCTGAGACTTGCATCCAGCTCCTAGAAATGAAAGGTTGGACCATCACACTAGCCAACCAACCCCCTGATGTTTTAGTTATGAATGGATTTGCAAATCACCTTTTGATTCTTTAATTCAACTCCTTGATGTCTTACTTCCTTGCTCTGTTGTTTTTACTCAGTGCTGGAGTTGGCCGGACAGGCACTTTTATTGCTCTCGACAGAGTCCTTCAACAGTTGGAGAGCAAGGATTCTGTCGACATTTACGGAACCCTTTATGATCTGAGGCTTCACAGGGTTCATATGGTCCAAACTGAGGTAATAAGATTTCTTATTTCTTGGATTGTTTCTCCTGTTTAATAAATGTCAAAATGAAGATTTAACATAAAACAGGCATTACACCTCTACACCAGCGGGAAGGCATAAAGCAACAATCAGAACGACTGTTTAAAACTAATGATAAATTCACTGTCTTAGTCAGGATTAGAATATTTCAGTGATCTACGTAAGAACATCTGCTGCTATCTAGAGATCACAAACAACACTGGAAAAAACATGGAAACATTTCAGTTTATATGGATGTCATAATACCTCCCCCTAACACCCACCTCAGCCTAATGGGAACAAGGAGCTCAGAGTAGGTGGCACTTCAGAAGTGGAGCACACTGGTACTCCAACACAATGACTCATGGATTGATAATTCCTCACATTACACAAGTTTCTAATCAGAGCTCAGCAGGAGGTGAGCTGATCAGATCTCAAGCGTTTCTCAAGTGGTTGGATGAAAATTCTCACAGGGACGATGGGCCAAATGGCTTACATTTTTGCTGAAATTTCCAGGTTTCTCCGTAGTGCTCTCCTCTCTTCAGGAGTACCACAGCTACAGACATGGGAGTAAGTCATACCCAAGTCTCATCAAGCAATGGGACATGGCCCAGGAAAACCTAAAGAGATGGGGAGAATTTATCAATCCCAACCTTTTTATCTTAAAATAGACAATAATTGACTACATAGAATGGTACAGCACAGAAACAGGCTATTTTGCCCAATTCATCTATAGTGCTGCTTATATTATACTCCCACCTCCGCCACCTCTCCTAATCCCCTAAACTAAATGTACAAACAAAAATAATCTTAAAATGCGATGCCCTAAAGTTAAAAAGATATGCCTCTCTCACTCACTATTGCCTAAATATGTGATTGAATAATTGAGATTTAATATATAAGGCAGGAAGAAGAGAATACAATAAATGATCTGAAAAGGAGCTATCCACTACAGAACAATACAATACAATTTATGGTACAGTTTACACTTATTTATCACCTTTCACTTCAGGAGGTTGTCTCAGAGTGAAAGGCACAATGCAAGGCTAGCTGAACCCACCTGAATGGCCTTTTGTACTTTATAAGCTTTAAATAGAAAATCTGTAGTTGTAAAGGACGCTGCAGCCTTTATGCAGTCTCTGCACCATTGATTCACTGTGGTTCTGAACAATCATTAATTACCTGAATTTGTTTTTCAGTGTCAATATTCCTATTTACATTTGTGCATAAGAGATGTTTTAAGAGCTAGGAAGCTCCGATGTGAGCAAGAAAACCCATTGTTTCCCATATACGAAAATGTGAATCCAGAATATCACAGAGGTAAGCAAATAATCTCTACAGGTGGCTTTTCCAAGGAACGTTCTGGGTGATTCATTCTGTCACGTAACATATAAGTTAAGTCATGCAGTAGTTAATTGCAGTAGTTAATTAATGAACTTTTGCATTTGCTGATTCCGTAGATTTTCTTTTCGGAAGACACTAAAGAACATGGACAAATATTCATCCGTAGGAAGGAATGTCATCTGCAGGACTGCTAAACATGCACTAAATAAATACCAGATAGAGCATTTCATGGTGTGTATAATTTATTTGCCTGGTATTCCTTGTGGAAATTATTGTAATTTAACTACACCAAAGATTATTGTATATACTTATATGTCAAATAAATATTCTCTAGATTATGTAAATATGTATTCGTATTTTTAAAAATGCCGGAAACTTATTTTTATTTTTTCTTCTAAAAAGTTATTATTACCTATAATGAAGTATGTTTATTGTATGTAAAAAAAAACAATAATCTGTATATATATTTATGATCTTATTTTATTTTATATATTTACATTTAATGTTTTTATATGCCAAATGTTCTTCTTATTACTTTTAATATATTATATTTTATACGGGATATTGTTAGCTGTATGTACTTCAAAGGGTAATATCAGATTTATGATGTGAAAGGCGCTATATAAATGCAATTTGTTGTTGTTTCACTTAAAATATTATTTACTGTAATATCAGACACTTTCACTTTTGATCAGCCTTTGAGGATAGTAGTTTAATCATTCTTTAAAGTGAGATCTGCCTTGAGGCAAGTATTGATGTTATTGAAACGTTCACCTCACATTCCTGTGGCTGTGTGTTAAGAGTCTCAGCACTGCCTGGCTTCACATCTGCCAGTCATATGAAGCAGATATGTTAGATCCGTTCTGAAAGTGCAGTGCACAGTGGTAATTGTCTTATTTAAGAAAGGATAACCTGACCCAGGAAAGTAAAATTAAACCTACTGTAAAGTACCCCTAGATAATTATTCGGGGAGGAAAAGTTTGCAGGGCTATGGGGTGAGAGTGGGGGAGTGGGATTGAATTGGATAGCTCTTTTCAAAGAGCCGGCACAGACACGATGGACCAAATGGCCTCCTTCTGTGCTGTATAATTCTATGATTCTATGATACTGCAATGCCACATGTATCACTGCCACATGTATCAGGAATAACGATGGACAAAATGTTTGCTAGTAATTTGATAGCACTTAGGAGTCATTAGAGAGGCACAGAGCAGAGGTGAGACTGCCCCTCCCAGCAGTCAAAGATGGCAAATTAGCAGGCAGAAAATAGGAGTCAGATGCACATATCTCCTGGAGAGCTATTAGAGAATGGACCCAGAAAAAACAGCCACAGATCAACCCAGGTTGGGGGGTGGGGGGAATGGGTGCGTAGGGAGAGTCATCTAAAGGGAAGAAAATAAAATTAAAGCTTAGTTGGTTGGTTTTAATGAGACTGGTCATTAAGCACATTCATGCCGGAGTTTAATCCACAAAGCCACCAAAAACTGCACACTTACATTCCTGCTAAATCGTAAAATAAACAGCCTCTTTAAAAGCTCCATTGACAGACAGGCAGATCTAAGATAACTTACTCACCTATCAAGCCTCACTACCTTTTGTAGTCCAGCTTTTATGTCTTTTGACTGAGTCTATTTGAAATAAACCACCATTTCTTGAAAAGAAAGACTGTGTTAGATGAAGGAGATATGACATTTTTAGCAAAGGATTAGAAGTATAGGTGAATAAAGAATAAATCTGTGTTACATTTTAATTCCATCCATGTTCGCACAGCCAAGAGCCTGTCTGGCCAACCTAGAATTTCTCCATGATTTATTAATTAACCTGTTATATTTATATCATCCACTAAGATTTACAAAAGGTTGTTTCAATAAAATACGGATAATTGTTTAACCATGTTTAAAATAGTTTGAAAAGACAGTATTTCTTTACCACTTTATCCGTCTATCTTTCATTCTCACACATTTGTCTACAAAAACAGACACTACTACACTTGGCAATAATTATTTTAAAGCGCTTTGAGATCTTTCAATGGATAAGGCAATATAACAATGCAAGTTCTTTCTAAATGCACAGTTCTGTTTCTTGTTATCAGTCTGGGTTGCCAATTTCTCCATATCTACTGTCAATTAAAGTCAATTTTGTCATTTTGTAAAGTATAACAGGAATCCTCTAAGCTATTTTATCTCTCAGTTGACTTGCCAAGACCTTGACTCAGCACAATCCTCTGGCAAATAGATGAGTGTCTGAACTTCAATCTGGCTGGACTTTCAATTCAAGGCCTCTCAACTGAATAGTTTCCATGAGAAACTATTTCCTCTGGTAGAGCAATCCAGAACAAAAGGGCATAATCTTAAAATTAGAGTTTGGCCATTTAGGAGTGAAATCAGGAAGCATTTTTTTCCCGCAAAGGGTAGTGGAAATCTGAAACTCTCCCCCAAAAGGCTATGCATGCTGAATCCACTCAAGTTTTCAAGACTGAAGTGGATAGATATTTGTTAGGTAGGGGTAACAAGGGATATAGGGCAAAGGAGGAAATTTGGAGTTGAGGTACAGATCAGCAACAATCTAATCGAATGGCGGAACACGCTTCAGAGGCTGAATAGCCTACTCCTGTTCCTATGTTCCTATAAATAAACACACAAAACTATCAGGCTGTTTCTCATCATGCAGTTTTAGGATGAAATTCCTTCCTATTTTGTAACCAAATATATGGGGCTTGGACACGGGCTATTATACAAGATGACATTTCTATTAACTTACAATCTCCCATTTTGACAGCAAAACAAAGACAAAGTAAAACAACTTTTAAGACTCTTCCAGGAAGCAGGCCTCATTGAGCTTACTTGGGGCATTCCAGAGAGTAGCTATTATTCTGTGAAGCACTTTGAGACGTCTCGAAGATGTGATAAGGTGCTGTATCAAAAGCAAAGATGATTATTATTATTAATAAAAGCACAAGACTGAGCATCACACCAGGGTTTAAGAAGTAAAGAACAAGACCCAAGAAACATTTTGCTTTTGTTCAAATGAAATCAAAAACAATTATAAGGAAGGCAGCATGAGCTTTTTAATATTGTTAACTTAATTTGTAGCTTTCAAGGTACTCTTTTCACCAAGATGCAGCATCCTACACAACACCACAGTGATGTGCACTTTCATGTTTTCAGCTCTTTTGTCCATCGTATTCTTTAAGTCAAGATGCTTCGGGTAGGATAAGGAGCAGTATCACCTTCAGTTTGCAGCAAACCCAGAAATATTTTGTTGATGAAAGACGAAAAGCTGACATCAACAGCGCAGACCTGAATGGTGTTATCATCTCTTTTTAAAAATGTTGATGGATTCACTGAGTCTTACGGGCTTTATGTGATACTCATCTATGCTTACTCATTTTATGGGTTAGTTGTTTCAAGAAACAGTAAAGTGATTTCCTGTTAATTTTCCTAACACTGGCTTATTCAGTTGATTTTCTATTTATAAACATGCTCTTTCATTTAATATTTGCCATATGATTTTCTGTAAACTTCCGAGGCTGAGTGTTATAAGGACGGCTGGAGAAACTGTACGGAGGCCCTGAGCTCTTACCAATTTGTAGGATTTCTGAATAACATAACAAATAGCTAACCTGGTTAAAGTGCTCCCATGGTTCTCGAAGCATCCATTTAAAATGAGAAAGAGCATAATGTGATTTTAATGTGCTCTCTCACAAACCACGACTAGGACAGTGAAATCTAATTGATCTGTTCATCAAATCAGATGACAGTCGCACAGCAGTTACGCAACTGGGAGCCATTGTAAACCTACAACTGAGGTTTGCAGAATCCTATTTTAAAATAGATTCTAGTTTTCTTCAGCTTCATTTCCAGGCGGAAATTTTATTTTGGCAGGCGATGATCATCACACTCGAAAAACATCATGCATATGGAATAAGTTAGCCTGTAAATGCTAACTTAATTATGAGAGGAAATGGCTTGCATTAAATGTTAAATGAGCATGTTCTTCGTTTTGTTAGGGGTGCAAGTTTGTGTATGGGTGTGTGTTTTAATCTAACATGTTGCATTTATTTTGATTACATGTTCCAAGTAGAGATGGAAGGAGAAACCAGCTCCTTAAACTGTGTTAGATTTGTATATAGCTGGAAATAACTTTATAGACTCATACCACTAATTCCCACAGTTGGAGAAAGTAACCCAGCGCATAAATATTTAGTACCACTAACTGAAACGGTGAATGAATAATATGGATATAATCTGCTGTACTGTTTGCCTAGACAGTTGCTCATGTTTAGGATTAAATAAATATGCTCTCTTCCAGTTTGCAGTTGGGGAATTGTCTTTTTTATGCATTCTGGATGGAAATCTATTACATGCATAGATGGCTTCACATTGAACATGTGTTTTAAACATCCAATGCCAAATTTACTCATCAAGTAAAAGCACTGATTGGTGCATCTCTTATGGTATTTAATCATAAAATAAAAATGGTTGCTGCTGGTTGTTGACAGTGAACCACACTCCCCCTCTGATTTTTTTTCCAATGTAAAGAGGAAAATGTGTGTAATTTGGTGAAGAAATATTAGTGTTCAAATTTAATTTATATAATTATCTCTTGTACTCAAACTCACCAGTTTTCTGTTTCAACTCAACTGTATCATTTAAATACAACATATGTTCCCTCACATTCAGTTCTCTCACACGACTGTTGCTGCCGTTCCAGAAATACTACCTCTTCCACCCTATCCAGAGGTACAACTATGCTGATCACATTCACATAACTTGCTGTCACTCTTAAGTTTGAATGGAGTTCTTATCAAAAGTCTCAATTATTCCAATGAATTGACTGTTGGGCTTTGAGAGAACGTCCATTAGAGATGAAAGTTTTGTCAATCATCCCAAACATTTTACATTTAAACCGAGGTCAGGTGGATGTTAAAGATCCATCCCATGGCACTATTCGAAAAGAGAAGAGGTTTCTCCCGGAGTTTTGGCTAACAATCTCCCAAAATAAAAATGGTCATAAGGTTCAAGCCCATTTGTGGGGCATTGGAGTCCTGTAGCTCAGTGGTTAGAGCACTCACCTTGCGAGCGAGAGACCTGGGTTCGATTCCCGGGCAGGGCAAAACCTTGGGCAAGTTTCCTTACTCCACACGCCTAATAATAATCCCTCAAGAAAAAACACAATAAAATTGGTCACTTCAATCCACGACTGTTTGTGGAACACTGCTGTGTGCAATTGGCTGCCGGGTTTCGCCCACAAATATACAGTCAATTCACTTTAGAGTCTATTCTGTGAAGCGCTTTGAGATGTCTAGAAGATGTGAAAAGCGCTATATCAAATGCAAGGATTATTATTAATGCTGTGCGAACTTCACCCACAGAATGCAGTCGATCTACTTCATAGTATACCGATGAAGTGAAGTTCTTTGAGACATCTCCACGACGCGATAAGGCGCTATATCAAATACAAGGATTATTATTATTATTTTAGCTTCTGGCATTCCACATTGTGAAAATCCCAGCTCCCTTGACCTGTTTGTTCCCTTTTCAAAATACAAATCACCCCAACAGCGTATTACCCAAACAAGTTTGGTAAAAAAACGGAAAAAAAGAATGATGTACAGGAAATTTGCTGATGTCAGATTTGCAGTTGTGTACACTTTCTGACTTCTTTTGATGCCAAGTTTTCTCTTTTCCAATTTTCTCCCCCATCCTCCCATATTCTCTCCTGAAGGCCTTTTTGATTCATTTTGATTTCTTCTCACTCAGGTACAGTTCCAAGATCACCAGTCGCCCTCCAGTATCTCACTCAAGTGATCATTATTCCTACGTGAACCTAACAGTGAGCTATTCAACCACAGTGGGCATTAAGACTGAGCCAAATACTAGCCTCTCCCATGCACATGTGCCTCAAGATCGGATGATACTAAGGCTATTTGATCTCATCCTTCCAGAATACCCACCCTACCATCTTCCCATCATAGCAGCAAGCTGTTTTTTTAAATGAGTCCAGTGTCCTGGGCTCAAACACCCTTCCTGGCAACCTGTTCCAGTCGTTAATTACCCTCGGGGTAAAGAGATTTATCTTCTAGAAGATATCTCTAAACATCCATAAGCAACTTCGGAATAGCTATTAAGAGTGGGAACCTGATCTGAATTTTCCCCTTCCTTGCCTATCTAGGACCAACTGTAGTGCCCCATTTGCTGCCTGATTAAGATCAGCTAACTGGGTACAAAGTATGATTCAAACCTAGAGTCTAGACAGTCACCAGGGTGGTGCCTTCACCCATTAGGGTTCGGTTTGGCTGTTTTCCTTTATTCTTAAAAAAAATGTTGTGCATTTTAGTTTATGGGGTAATTCATTCCAGGCATTGTACAGCACTCATTAGAGAAAATGTAATATTTGTAAGTGCTTAAAGTAATGGAATATAACAATATGAGAAGTGGCCTCCAGCTGTGATGAATACCATTTTAAGGAGTCTCCTCTTCAATTCTTTCAGTGGCTGACATTCCGATTCACCATCCATAAAGATAACTATATTAAAGAATTCCCGTCCAGGCAGCTCGCTCGGATGACGTAACAAAAGGGTAAATGTAACATCCCCACAAAATAAACAGTCAATTCACTTTGCAGCATATTCTGTGAAGTGCTTCGAGACATCTCGAAGACGTGATAAGGCGCTATATCAAATGCAAGGATGATTATTATTATTCTAATCCCTTCTCAGCTCTTGAATAAATAAATCCCACTGCTAAACTATTGGAAATTGAAACAGAATTTTCGTGGCTCATTCACTGAAGGATGCCAGTGGGGTAAACTCTTTCAAATTCATATGGGTAGCCCTTAAATTATGTAATTGACCACCAATTAAAACAATAGGATTGTTAAAAATTTCTGTTTGAACATGA